AAGAATGTAGATTGTCTCTTTCCGATGTAGGCAATCAATTCTCTTCGTAAGTCAGTTTCTTTTAAGACATCTTCATTATAATTTTTATATGTTATGGGTCTTCTCATCATTCGCCTATAAAACCACATCTCTGTAACATCCACATAATGTTTCACTAATCGTTGTTACCTTTCAATATTGTTGTTAATTATGCCAAGAGTGCTAAACACTTTAAGATTATTGTCAGAGTGCAGACGACAACGATGACGTCATACTTACAGTTAAAAGTTAGCCATCCCATTTTTGACATGTACCAAAGAGGGTAGCAATGTGTTATCCGTCTTTAGATCAGTGATGGGGTGAAACTTAGAAACATTCATCAGTGAATGAAAGTCCAGTATGGTAATGCATGACTGTCACTGCAGCAAGCTTATGAGTAGAGAAGGACGATTCAAAACTATCCTTTAACACAGCATTATAAAGGTTCCACATCGGAAGTTGCCCGATGCGTATGAAAACGTGTCATTCATTATAAAGTTTTTAAAGGGGTAGGAAATTATAAAAAAGATAAACAAGTTGGTAAGAAAGAACAAACTGTTTATGTTAGCTTTACAAAATCAATCACAATAAACAAATACAGAACGTTGCGGCGATTAGCCTTCTTCGGCACATAAAGAACAACACAGTACACACACAAATATGCTCTAACTATGAAATGACTACATAGGACTCTAGTGTACAAAATAAAGGAAACTCATCTGTGTCCTTGGCGAAAAACTTCGTTCAAGAGGCTGTCAAAGACAGGTACTAGCCTATGTATCACCAACGCGCGGTCGTGGAACGACAAACGGGGTCAGTATACCTAGGAAATAGGCAGGGTAGACGCCCACAGACACAACAGCGTACACTGAGTGTCTAAAGAGGGAGGGAGGGGTTGGCCATTAAGGCGTAACCAGGGCTGGGTCGTGGGGATGACATTAGTCCATCCGCATGGAATAAAAGTGGTGCCTGTGCTAGCGAACAAATACCAACAGACAGGCAGGCAGGCCGGCAGACAGGCATGCTGATAGATATATTATAAATCCCTTTATGAGATCCGTTGCCCTGCTTTTAGGGTAAGGCAGACTCCAGTAACTGCCCATTTCTAACAAACGACAACTTATTAAAAATTCGGATGGATTATACCGAAGGGCACAGATTTCACAGCTTTGCTGTGACCACAAAACAAGGTGTTGAACTCGTTTTGAGAGAGAAAGAACATAAATTATTTACAGTGAATCTGAAATCAGAGTGAGCTGGGTCCAAAATTAGTAAACATTTAGTTTTACATAATAATGTTTTTTCATTCACTGGTTAACGAAAGAAGGCAATACAGATATGATGAAAGAGAATCAGAAGAGCAGACAACCTAACATATAAACCAGAAGAAAGTATTTGTCATGTCTGGTCAAGTTTCGAGTATGAAGTACTGAAGCCTGTTATAATTTAATTTTGACCCAAGAACCGACATCACAGCGCTTGGCGCATCCCCATAAACACCATGTCCCCATTTTCAGCAGCCAACGCAGAGTTCCAATACCAGTGGTGCCAGTAGAAGTCTATTATATGCCTGTTTTGTCTTTCCTCCTAGAGTCAAATACGGGCCAGACCCTCTGATCACTGCTCGATATGGGCCAGACCCTCTCGTCATTTCTCGATATGGGCCAGACCCTCTCGTCACTTCTCGATATGGGCCAGACCCCGTCGTCACTTCTCGATATGGGTCAGACCTCTCGTAACTTCTCGCCACATTACTCCCATCAGATTGTGATGGTCAATTTACTGTTCCATATTGTACACGTGGTTCCCATAAGGCCCTATTTAACCATGTGTGCCTCATCGTGCAATAATATTCCATCAAGTTATGCAGAGCCAGCCAGTTCGTTCGTTCGTGCATTTCCCAACATACCAGCATTTCCCGAATAAAAGATCCAGACAATGCTCTTCATCATTGACCTCCGTAGCGAAGCACGCCACCCAGCCCGAAGCATGTCTGTCCTCACCTTCCTAAACATGCTTTCTGAGTCAGTTACAAACACGGTGTGTGTGTGTGTGTGTGTGTGTGTGTGTGTGTGTGTGCATAGTGTTCTCTAGCCAACGCAAAGCTGCAGTGACCGCCTCCAGCTCAATTCCTTAGCTACATTTTGTAGCATCAAATGCTAAGCTCTCCTGCATCGAACGCCGACCATTAGCTTTTTTCTTTAGAATCGCCAGACACTTCTTGTCCCTGTTGACATTGAACCATATGTAGAACTAATCTAAATAATCCAGCCTGACATGACAAATGCAAAGATATTTGCAGTGGCAAAAGATAGTGCAAGAATACTGGTACATGTGCACGTTAGCATTTTGTCATAGTACAGACAGAAATGGATTTATTCTTTTAAAGGTGTTATGTTGTGGAAAAGCCAGTTGCTTTCAAGGCATCTGGTTCAGATTATTTAAAATGTGTCTTTTGCTTGCTTTTTGTTCCAGCTGCAGGCGGCTTTGATCCTATGGGTAAGTTTAAAAAAATATTTTCTTCTTATTTGTCTGTAAAATGCACCAGCTACGAAACTAGCAAAAGACAGGAAACTACATCTAACGCCTCTCTGTGACGTTTGGTGGTATAAGCAGTAGGAAAGAGAAAAAAAAAGGTGAAGAAGAAGAAAAAGAAGAAGAAAAAGAAGAAGAAGAAGAAGAAGAAGAAGAAGAAGAAGAAGAAGAAGAAGAAGAAGAAGAAGAAGAAGAAGAAGAAGAAGAAGAAGAAGAAGAAGAAGAAGAAGAGAAGAAGAAAGAAGAAGAAGAAGAAGAAGAAGAAGAAGAAGAAAAGAAGCAGAAGAAGAAGAAGAAAGAAGAAGAAGAAGAAAGAAGAAGAAAGAAGAAGAAGAAGAAGAGAAGAAGAAGAAGAAGAAGAAGAAGAAGAAGAAGAAGAAGAAGAAGAAGAAGAAGAAGAAGAAAAAGAAAAAGACGTAAAAAAAAAAACAATACAAATATACCCAATGTTGACAGTAAGAGAGACAGAATACTGTGAACAGACACGAATACTAACTCCAACATAGCGACGGCTATAAGAAGCTGAAGAAAGAAAAAGAAGAAAAACAATTAAAATCTTACAGAAAGAACAATGTTACGCTGTAAGCGAAGTAGCCAACATCAGATCAGCCACCTTTACTCTCTAATTCATTTTCTTTAACAAATTTACCCTGGGTCAACGATAAGTCAGCATCTGGCCGACCGCCCTTACACCCTATAATATTTCCTTGCACCCACTATAGGCTGCGTTGGTATGGGAGTCAACGTCAGTTTATTTTTTTTTCAAATACGCACGGAGAGGAACACACGATCTTCATGGCATCTGGCCAGAGTCAACTAAATAGGCCAGTGCAGCTGCCATTTTTATCTCTCTGAGTATAAAAAATATCCCTATGTTTAACCTTTCGTTCTTCAATTTCAATTCTCCTTTTTTGATTTATGTGTAACTTCTTCCAATATCTATGTAAAATATATATGAAACCTGCTACTTCTTTCTTCTTCTTCTTCTTCTTCTTCTTCTTCTTCTTCTTCTTCTTCTTCTTCTTCTTCTTCTTCTTCTTTTTCTTCTTCTTCTTCTTCTTCTTCTTCTTCTTCTTCTTCTTCTTCTTCTTCTTCTTCTTCTTCTTCTTCTTCTTCTTCTTCTTCTTCTTCTTCTTTTTCTTCTTCTCCTTCTTCTTCTTCTTCTTTCTCTTCTTCTTCTTCTCTCTTCTTCTTCTTCTTCTTCTTCTTTTTTTTTTCTTCTTCTTCTTCTTCTTCTTCTTCTTCTTCTTCTTCTTCTTCTTCTTCTTCTTCTTCTTCTTCTTCTTCTTCTTCTTCTTCTTATTTTTTTTTCTTCTTCTTCTTCTTCTTCCTCTTCTTTTTCTTCTTATCTCTTCTACTATAAAGGATCGCAGCGTCATGGCAGGGAGAGATCTCTGCCTTGTGTTCGCATCGTATACTATACTTTTCAGTATCTCTGATATTTCTGCAGTTATCCTATTATCTTTGTTTACTGTGATATTCCATGTTTAAAACAGCATTTTACAAACCTTTTTTTTTTTTTTATTATTTCAGCAATGATGCTCGGTGGAATGGGTAAGTTATGAATATTCGAAAGGAGTATGCGCTCCTTGGAGGTTTGAATTTGATAAAGTTGAGAAGATCAACTTTGTTCCAGGGCTTGCAAGTTGTGTCTCTCATAGCAACATCACAGGAACATCACACTTAGCATGAATACCTATCTAAGGCCCCTAGGAGTCAAACTAATTAAGTACTTAGGACCATATGCATATATAAAGACTGTACGGTTCGCACAGTGTGCATGTCAAACGGGAACACAAACACTTGACCACCCTCTGCAGGCCTGCCCACTAAAATATATCTTCAAGTGCGATGAGAAACCGGGTATCGGGAGCAAAGCGTGCAGAGCAAGGTGTGGGGAACCACGAGGGACCTGCAACTGACATGTGAATTCTTAGAGGCAGCCAACTTCACGATCTCACCTGAGCATGCTAAACCGAACGCAAAGAAAAAGAAAAAGAACTACTCACACATGGAAGCACATCTCCCTCCCTTTCGATTCTAAACTGATCCAGTCCCAAAATACAAAATGTCATTTGCAACCATCCGTGGAAAGTAAACAGCCGCCACAGCTATTCTGAAGTCTGCTAAGAATTTCGGGCGAGTTTCTTTACAATTAACATTAGCTGTTTCCCTATACGTCATGCATGGCTTTCAACCTATTTCTTCATTCCATTATCTTTTGTGAAGTATTTCATTACCTGCATAAAGTCTAACAAAACAACGTCATGTTTCTGTTAACACTGTTCGTCTTACATTTTCTTTTTGACGCTCTAGCTTTTTACAATGCTTTCTTTTTTTTTTTCTTTGCAGTGGTCGTTTCATATAATTCTTTTGCTACTTCGTCTTAAAATGTATACTTTTCAAGCAAGACGTTTTTACACATGGTTGTCACCCGTGAAAGATACTCCTAAATCCTTTGTACCGACCGACTGACTGACTGACTGACTGACTGACTGACTGACTGACTGACCAAGTGACTGTTTGACTGTTTTTCCCCTCTAAGCTCTCACCCTGAAAACGGGGGTACCCGTTTGACTCAAAGAGCTGCACCCGGATGTCACTTCTGTTTCTTTTCTTATTACCCTTACCTTTGACATTTTACCCACATCTGTCCACATCTTTCTGGCCATTTCTCATACAGATGGTCTTCCACGTCATAATGTCAAACTCTCCAGGACCTTCCATCTTGGCCTCCCTCAACCTCTCTTCTCCAGTGATATTCCTTCATCACGACGTACTGCACTTTTCCTTTGACACAAATGTAGACAGTCGTCTTTTTATCCAGGTAATCAGTTTTCTTCATGAGCTACGTTCTGCCAATAGCGTTCTCATTATTTTACTAGTTTTGCCAGTGAATGAGTTAATTAGCCTTAGATAGTTCATCAGTTAGTAAGTTAGTTAGTTAGTTAGTTAGTTCATCAGTTAGTTAGTAAGTAAGTAAGTAAGTAAGTAAGTTAGTTAGTTAGTTAGTTAGTTAGTTAGTTAGTTAGTTAGTTAGTTAGTTAGTTAGTTAGTTAGTTAGTTAGTTAGTTAGTTAGTTAGTTAGTTAGTTAGTTAGTTTAGTTTAGTTTAGTTTAGTTTAGTTTAGTTAGACAGGTAGTTAGTTAAGATCCCAACATCACTGCAGACAGATTACACCCTAACTGCTCCTTTCATGAGCTAGTGGAAATCACACAACATGTCCGGCATTGTCCTTTTTGAAAGCTAGTTAAAAAAAAAAAAATTCATTTCTAGCAAAATCTTGAAGCTTGCACGCCCAAAGTTTAAAAAACAAATGCACAATGTAGCTGTCAAATGTGAAAACACTAACGGCCAAGCCTTTGTTGGCGCAAATGTTTAGTCACAAAAATTGGCAGAGCACCCGTAGGTGTACATACCAGTCTGAAGTTAATCGACAACTCACCATTTTAGTCGTCACCAGCATGCCACAGGCATACACAAAGTGGGGGGGGGGGAAGGGGGGATTCTAAATGGCATCTACATCTCAGAGTGTCGTACCAAGCACTCAACCCATGTAGCTGGACGTCGGAACCCTTGGACTCCTGGTCCAGAAATGAAGAATTGGCATCAGAAAAACCTAGCTGTAAACAAACAGAACACTTGTCAGAGCATTCGTGGACAGTCAGCTATCAGCCATTTTAGTTGGAAACAAAATTGTGATGTATTCTTCTGATGCATTCATTTTAATGAAACTATACCCGGCTCTCTAGCGTATTCGGCTAAACCAGATTGCGCGGTGATCGGGTGACGAACTCCTTGTGGTCCGGGTTCACTCTCGGGGGTAGGCAGAAAAGCCACATTTCTCCCAGATTTACGGTATTTATCATGGAATCAAGGCCGAAATGTTGCGATATCCATAATACCAAGCCTAAAGGTTAACAACTCATGGCTTCTGGATACTAAAAACAAAACAAAACAAAATGAAACCACATGTCGTCTGCTTTGACTCCGTGTTTCTATACTCAGCTGACTGACCCTAATCGACTGCCATTCATCAGGTTTGGCTCTGTCATCATCAAACAGCGAGTCCTTTACAGAACGTCGCTCATCTCACGGCACGACTGAAAGTATCCCTTTCTCTAGTCAGCTCTCCAGCCCCCATGCGCCTTCAATGCCAGTGCATCTTCAAAGTCCCGTGTCCCTCTACCCGTTGGTCGACCTCTGCCTCGCTTTCCACAAACTGTATCTTCCATTACCGTCTTTTCCAAGCCACCATGACGTTTCCTATGGCTAAAATACTTCAACTTTCGGGACAGGACGCTGTTTGTGAGCCAGTTTTCCTGAATGTTTAACTTGTGTCAAATGTCGATATTTTTCCTTTTCTTGATCTGTGGTATTCTGAGAATTTTTCTGTAACATTTTAATTTAAACGCTCCAATCTTCTTCTTCAGTGACTGATTGAGTCCATGACTCACAATCGTAAGTTGCCACAGGAAAAAAAATGCATGACCTCAAGATTTTTACTTTAACTAATTGGCAGTGTTTTGCCATGGTTGGGTCTGTACAGCTCTTCAAAACCATCTGTGTCACTTTAATTAACAATAAGACAATGCATGGACAATTTACCTGTTCCTGTTAAATGTCACTCCAACATTACAATTCACAAATACCTCCTTTAACCTACAACACGTTATAATTAGGTTCCATGTAATGACAA